TTCTCCGTTATGTCATGTTGAAAGATACAAAAAAAAATTCAAAGTGCAAAAAGTGATGTTGGAAAACTGCTTGCTTTGTCCAACTAATAGTCCAAAATCCAAATACAGGAGTTCACAATAATCTTAAACAGAGAAAAGCAGTAGATCTTCACACTGTGAGACACCATAAATGTTGATCAATGGTAAGTCAGCTCATCGTTTCAGCCCTGAAATTATGTCATATGAATAAAAATATTTTGGCTTTGCACCCTGCACATTGCAGCACCTGGGTTTGAGTCTGTGTTTGAAGTCTGGCTGAGCCGGGCCTCTTATCTCTGCTCAGAGGTGGGGGCATCATTGTGTTCTGCTAATGAGGCTACATTAAGCCTGTCTACACCAGGGGGGCATGTAATCCTCTCAGCTGGCCTGACGTGGGACCGGGCAGGGCGCTGTTTACACGGGGAGTGTGGAGGCTAGCACTCAGGACCTCAGTCTACTGTTGAATCTGCTCAGAGATGTGATTAAGAGGTGGAGGTGGGAGCAGGGGGAGGCACGCACCACTGCATAGAATGGTGTCTGAGTCTTAACACAGTGTATCTTGGTGCTGGCCTGCTGTGTCCATACAATACAACACAATGCAATACAGTCCCTCGCTGCGAAGATCACGGTCATTATATCCCCTTCACACCTTCAGGCTATGAAACAATGCGGCTCTTTATGAATGAGCCACTGTAAGGAAAGTCTGTGGGATGGCACTGAGGTGGAATACAGTGCTTCATTATCAGAGCTCTCCTGCTTCACTCTCCCGTAGTCTGTGTCTTCTTTGGATGGACGTCTGCGGGTCAGCAAATCCTCAAATATCCATTTTGAGAGAGGAGAAGTGTCTGTTGTGGCATCTTCACTGACAAAAAGCTCCAGTCCACATCTTGAAAATGTAGACTCACCTCACAGCAAATCCCTAAGTGCTCCAATCCAAAATCCATCTGATATTCAACCCCAAACATCATCCAAGAGTTCCCAAGAATCCACCAGGGCCTTTGTAAATCCTCGTCGTGCAGGTCTTCAGCTCTACCTGTGCCAGCTGGGCCATCACTGACCCACAGTGAAGACGGAGAGGAGTGTCCCATATATGAGTTCTGTCCAATACAATGGTACATTGTGATCAGAACAATCCCTATTCAGAAAGCATTGTGCTCATTCTGCTTGTTGGCTGTGAGACAATGCAGTGATACCCTACTGTCACCTTATAGATTAGGATTCATCAGCAGGGCCTGAATAAAGGACAAATCACAGGGTTAAAAAAAATACTAGCAAAATAATGTCAGAGGGTGAAGTCAGGTAAAATGGGACAAATAAGGTTTTACATCCTGGGCTCTTTAAATATTAGCAGCTACTCGTCAAACATGTTTTGCTGCTACAAATGTGCTTTACCTGAAACAAACGCTTTGATTGATATGAGATAACTGCAGGCAGATTAAAGAGACAAAATCTCAAAACTTGCAAAATAAGTCATGAGTTTGATTTTCTGTTTTTGGTAATAAAATGATAAGTGTGTATCAATAAAAATGGTTTCAGGACTTTGCATTTTATTAACTGTTTGACTTGTAATCAAAATATTTTTGACAATATACCTTACTTTTCACAGGAAAGGGTTTTGAGTGAGTACTTAATGCACTAATACGCTAAAACGGGACATTTTTCTGAAATGAAACCAGCATGTTCTGAGCAGATTATGAAACAACTGGCCCCTGGGCACTGATATACAAAGGGTCCCACCACCACATAAGAGCAGGACACACAGACATCGTAGTGGTTTTGCATCCTTTTGGGGCTTCCTGTCTCTTTGCTGTTGTTTTGCTGGTGTTTTTACTCATTTTGTGTCTTTTTGATGCAACTGCATGCCTATTTTAGTTGTTTTGGGGCTTCTTATGGCTGTTTTTTGTATTTTTGTGGTCATTTGAGTCTCTTTGAAAAGATCTTGTGTCTCTGAAGTCATTTCCTGTCTCCTTGTGGTCAATTTGTTTCTTTTTGTAGTCATGTTGTGGTTGTTTTGCCTATATTTGTAGTTGTTATGCATCTTTTTGTGGGTTTGGGTCTCATTGTGGTTGTTTTGTGTCTCACTGAGGTAATTGTGTGTATTTTTGTTGTTGTTTTGTGTCTCTCTCTGCCTGGTCTGTACGTGTTAATTTGACATTATGCAGGTGAAGGCCAGGGGCTCCCTGACAATTTGGGCCCCTGGGCCCGTACCTGATTGACCCATTCAGTAATCCATCCATGATTTTGATACCACCAGGTGCCATAAAATCATGCCTTATGCTGTTGGGTGTCACCATTTGTAGCATTTTTGTCACTTTAAAATATTAAAAGTGATGCAGTGAGTCCATGTCAGCCACAGTAGTCCAGAATTAGCCATCGGTGTTGCACGCAGGCAAGCACACACACACATGTCCACTGTAGGTGATATAGAACCAAGGAAAGAGACAGCAAATGAACAGGGAAGCATGGCAGAAAGGTTGAGTGAACTTTTATGATGACATAATGGCTGATCTGATGAAAAAACAAACAACTTTGACTGTCCCATTTCACCTGAACGTATCATTGGAGTGAGGTAAGGGTTCTTGATATGTTTCAAGTTTCTAAATATTTTACTTAGCAACATATTTTCTTGATCGAAATATAGCAGAGAAGCATTACAAGTTCTAACAGTAAAAGTTAAGGTAATCTGCAGAGTGTTTTCTTAGTAATCCACCAAAAAAAGTGTCCCAAAATACCTGAGCTCACCCTATAAAGGTGCTGGTAATAAATTAATAATAAAAAAGGTTAATATTCAGACATTAAACACACATATGATCTCCCACACGCTCTCTAATATTTAGCCCCGACTCAATTCACAGAAGAAGCTCAGCCGAAACTAACGTTATTGTATTCACGCTGCGTCGTTCAAGTTAATTGATTAAATCCATTAGTGTTGTTCACAGTGTGTTGGAGCGTGCGTCCCGTTTAACAGCGCCGGATGTGGATTCAACCTCTTAATTCTGACAACCCGTGAAGAAACCCCCCTCACTCACCCCCTCCTTCACTCCACCAAATACTAACAAACTATACACATTTAAATGAGTAATTCTGTTTAAAATACATCTTAAAGAGACTTTCCTCCCCTCAAAGCCACATGCCACTTCATCAGATTGGACTGATACGGAATGGTTTAAGTTGAGGAGCACAGTCACCTTTATCACTTATTGAATTTACCAATGTCACAGTATTGATCATTGATCTTCTGATGAACATATCAGGCTCCATTACGCCTGATTTACCGCTCCTGCAGGGTTGACACAAAATCCAAAATGCTCCTTATTAGTCGTGATATAAAAGTGTGCACGTGTTACAAAGCCTTAAAAGTGCAGACTCAGATGTTTAGATTCTCCTTGTGTATTAAGCCTCCCTGCTCCACACTATAATACACAGTATTTACAATGTAAAGAGGCCTGCGTAAGTGACTCGTCTGCCGGGACAAAGCAGGTGCAGGATCCACTGTGGGTCCGTGTATTGCGGGTTTAACGTCGCCGCTGTCACTGTAATGGCGTCTATTGTCTGTGTAATGTTAGTGTCAAAGACAGATATTCATTGAAACCTGTAATGGCATCCTATTATATTCAAGTGGGATCACACGCCTTTAGAGTTTCTGGAGAAGTCATTAATGGTGGATACACAAAATTATCATTGTTTATTTGAGCTCTTTTGAATGACTAAAAGTCTTATAATATTATTTTCAGTGCATTTTCAGTAATGAAGTTATTGTACTTGGACTTTTGTAGTGATTTAGTTTATCTGTGTGTCTTATGTCCTATTAATAAAGTGCTATAGTGCTCAGAAATGAGTTTCCATGGCATTTTTTTCTAACTTTCCGACAACAAAAACAAAAATAATTCTCCAACAAATGTGTCTATACACTCAATAGTGACTGATATCCTATTTTACCTTTATTTCTGGTAATAATAATCGTTTAGTTTATGTGTTTTTTACCTTTAAATATAATTTTGGGGCTGTATTATTTTTAAATAACGCAAAAAAATTGTAATAACAACAAAACAAAACAAAAAAACTGTCCAAATAAATAGGAATATAAATAAGAGGCTGAAAGAGAAAAGCTATATTTTCTGTGAGTCTGTTTTGTTATATTTTTCTCGTCTTTTAATTTAATCTGATAAATGTAAGTAACTAAACACAGCTATTTCTGTGGTTTTGATGTCCTAAATGTGAGCTCATCACGCCCCTTTGTGCACACCTATCGGTTTTTGCGTCGGGCAAATATTTGCAGTAATAAACACGCCTTGATCATGTTTGTTTCAGTCCTGTAAAATGTACTTTGATAGAGACAGTGGATGGCCGATAAGAGCTGAGAGCCACAATGTAATTAGTAACCAGCCGAGCCTCCTGGACACTTTGATGTTCACCCATCAATACCTGCTGCCTACCTGCACTATTGATTAGATTCCGTTTCTCTCCGATAGGCAGAGGTGGCATTTGATTTCCCTAATATGGAGTAAATAAGTGAATCAAGGAAAGATCTTGTACTTTTTTCTCAAATTAGACAGGAACAATAAATACGCCTATTTATGAACAATCAACAGGCCTATTGGTGATTAAAGGAGGATTAAATATGATCAGTAAATGTGGCAACTTTTGCACAAGTATACTTTTGATTTATCACTTCATACGTCACCATAAAGACACATTTTGTGACACTGGGTTCAACACTCTCTGGTGTAAAGCCTTTAAATCTGGGCATCGTTTGTTATATAAAAGCCAGTTTAAGTTTTATTTCAGACTCACGTGTCTTTTCCACCTGAAGTTTCGTGAGATCGTTGATTTGGGGCGTCAGATGGGCCTATCACCGACCCGAGAAAACACCTGGAATTCACACCTTAAATCCACTCCTCCCGCCCTCCCATTGGTGGAGCACCCACATATATCCGTCACTGTGCATCACCAGGAGGATGACAGCGGCCCGCAGCAGAGTCCCAAACACCGCCACACTGTGCGTAAACATGCATTTCAGCCACGACCCCGCTCCTTACCAGCTTTGCGCAAACAGAGAGCCCATCTTCGAGAGCGAGGACTCGGGCTCCGTAGACGGGGAGCAGATGACCGGGGAGCGCTCCCCGAGTTCACGGCCCTCCAGCCCGCTGTCCATGAACTCGGACTCCAGCTGCACCAGCCCCGAGGCCAAGTCTGCGTCCACGCAGCAGAGGGTGAGGAGGCCCCTGAACGCCTTCATCATCTGGACCAAAGAGGAGCGCAGGCGGCTGGCACAGCTGAACCCAGACCTGGAGAACACGGATCTGAGCAAGATACTCGGTAAGAGACTGATCAACAGCTTGTGTTATTAATAAGTTGCTGTAGTTTGGAGATGCTCAAGTTTGCCAAAAAATGCTTCATATTTGTAGTTCTTTGGCCTATAGAACATGTCTCATATGGGGGAAACAATGCACTATGATGTTGCTTTAATGTCAGTTTTGCTAAACGAATGAGCATGGGTGGATTATGAGATAATGGGCCCCTGGGCACGGATATGCAAAAGGCCCCACCACCTCTCCTACACAGGAGCAAGACACACACTTTGTGGTGGTTCTGCCTCTTTTTTCTTGTTGTGTTGCATCCATTTGTGGCCTTATGCATGTTTGCATGTCTCCTTGTGGTCACTTAGAGTCTCTTTCTGGTCAGTATATGTTAATTTGAATGACATTTTCCATGTGAAGGCCAGGGCAACCTCTGACACTTTAGGCCCCTTGGTCTGGACCAGTTCATTATCCATCCAGTGTGCAGATCATTAACCCCTCTGTGTTCCTGCAGGTAAAACATGGAAGGCCATGTCCCTGGTTGAGAAGCGTCCGTACATGCAGGAAGCAGAGCGTCTGAGAGTCCAGCACACCATCGACTATCCCAACTACAAGTACAGGCCCCGCAGGAGGAGGCAGCTGAAGAAGAGCTCCAAACCCCAGGGTGCAGAGGTTTCTCACTCAGGCTTCCCCATGCCGTACAACCTCACCTACCCGCTCCAGAACCAGCAGCAAACCTACCTGAGCACGCCTGCTTTCCCAAACTCCCCGGCCAACTTCACCCCTCTGCGCAGCAGCTACTTAAACACTCCAGTTTTTCCAGACACAGCAGCAGCAGATGATTTTTCAAATAAGCCTGTGGTGTACCCAAACCCTCCTGCGTACCCCGCAGAGCCTCAGGTGTATTTTGGCAGTCAGCACGGGCACATGCAGTATGGTTTCTCCAGCGCTGCAGGTCCTCATGTGGATCAGGGGGAGTCCAGCAGGGTTCAGGGGGGCCTGCTGTGCCCCGCAGGGCCCTCCCTGGAGTTTTACCTGGAGCAGGTTCAGCTGGACATGCTGTATGATCTGGACCGCAGCGAGTTTGAACAGTACCTGGGTCCAAGCTCTCACAGGCTGGAGTCAGTGGATCCCAGCAGCTACCATCAGCAGAGCAGCCACAGAGAGGGACGCTCAGTGTCATGAAACTGCTAAAAAAAACTGTGTATTTATTTAAATTATGTCAGTGAGTCATTTGATGTGCTGAATGTGTATATTGTGCATTTTGTTTCTTGACAAGTTGTGTTCTTTTGTGACTGCTGTATTGTCTTGCAATGTAATTATATGTATTAATAAATAATTAATTCAACTTTCAATGTTCATGTCTTTATTAACAAAATAAATTAGCAAAAATGCAAGATTTAAAATAACATTACTTTTCAGAAACTGGGTGTTCAAAGGCCACTCTATGCATTGTAAAAATAAATAGCCAAAACTTTTTGGTTTCCACCAATGACATCAAACCGTGCATTGAATCTATTCACTTTTCTATGAATCCCATATCTGTTGAATGATTAATACATGTTTTTTGTTTCAAAATTTGCAACACATTCTTACTATTAACCAACCTCATTCCGTAGTCATTAAATACTGGCGCTTGGGCAGTGACTTTCAGCATCAGACACCAAAGAAAAGCCTTTAACGTTGGCATGATGCTCGGCCAGTTGCTGTTAGTGGGTGTCAGGGGGTAAAACAGCTGGACGACAGCATAAGATAAGAGAGTGAAAAGACCAGGTTGGGTTGGTGGGAGTGTTGGCGGATGTGTCAAACAACCACTGACTTTCAGCCGGGAGGCCAGTGTTCACTTCCTGTTTGAATGTAAAGCCAAACCCTGTTCTTTTTTAAGAAACCTAAACCATATGCGTGTGTTTGCTAAACTGATCTCCTTGCCTTAGTCATTGAAGGTAAAAAATGTCAATAGTAGGGTTATTTTGAAAGAGACTGTTTGCAAACTTTACACATCCTGTGAAAATGGAAGTGTATTTTGAAAACACACAGTGCATGTAACAGGCCGATGTTGACATGGTGTCCCAGATCATTAACAAAAACACACCCAGGGTACCTTGCATGTCACACGTCAATGTGGAAAGTCCATGACTAAGCGTCAATATGTGACGAGGTCGGAGTGAGAATGTGTTGTCCCAACTTGTCAAATACTCGTCAGCAGCCCTCAGTGTCAGATACCAACACAAAGTTATGCTCCAGCAAACTAGGGTAGCATAAAGACTATGTAAGTCCATGTAGGGAGGGTGGAAGAAGAGGGGGATGAGTCGGACAAACTCCGGACTTTGACCCAAGAGATCACTTTTTTGTGTCCTGTGTGAAACCAAAAATCAATCAAGCTATTTTACTAACATTACAGTGTGCTAGTATGTGTAGCATACTACGCTGGTGATGTGATTTTACATTTTGTGAGTAACAACCCTACAGATTTTAAGCCAAACCATGATATTTTGTGAATCTAATCACATACTTTTATTACCTAAACCGAGGGGAGTAAACCTAAAAATTGAGTTTTTGGGTGGAGTTCTCCTTTAAGAAAAGCTAATGATTCTAAATATCTATTAGATTAAACAATGTTGGAGCTATACCACCCGCCCTTTGGCAGAAGCCAAACTGTTGACACGCTGTTTTATCTCCATCCTCATGTCTTTCTCGGCCCAGAGAGGGAAGCAGGGTGGGCGCCAGGGGCATAAACTTCCCAACTTCCTGTTTCATTTTAAAACATTTCACAAAGGCTCTAAAAATATGCCCCAAAAATCGACATATCTCCAAACTTATTGGGCTTTGGCTGCCAAATGTTTACTCATTTAGGAGAATGTTTACTTCCCTGCCCTGTCTTTTCTGTGTCAGAGCCTCGAGGCTGAACTCAAAATCAAGGCACTCCATCATGTTGCATTTTATACTTCCTTTGGACATTTACAATAAATCATGAGACTCTTCCAATCAGTTCAAATGTTTGCGAGTGAAAAAATTTACGCATCTCTTTTTATTGACAAGAGCAATGACTAAAACTCAATTCTATATGATAAACATTTAAGAACGATTAATAAATGTGAAATAAAAAAAGATCCCGCACATTATCCGTTAGTTGTACTTCAAGAAAATGTGTGGGCTTTTTTTGTGTTTTCCTTAGGATAAGATCAACAAATAGGTGATAAATGTATAAAGTAAAAATAAGAAAATAAACATTTTAAAGTCTGGTAATACACAGGGCAGGTTTTGTAAAACTAGATCAGACCTGCTTAATCATTTTGGGTGATTACTACTCTTTATTCCACAAATAATTGCTGACTTCAAACACCAGAAAACCAAGTATTTCCTATAGACTTCAATCTGAACACACTCTGTGATCAGAAGTTGCACCATATCCAGTCAACAGTATGAAGTAGTCCGCATCTACAACTGTTATTGTGCTTAAATACGTCTTTTTATATGAACAGTCATTGTTAATATAACAAGCATCACCCTGCATTTGCTTCAGTAATGACTGTATTTCCATTGACAACAATTACATATTATCCCAAATTTATACTGATATATTAATTTGAACAAATATACAATTAAATATTATTTGTATTGACAACAGTTTATAATCAGGAACTCTGTATTCCCAACCTGGTCTCACTACAAAGTCTTCAAAAGCTGGAACTTGGGCAGTGACTTGAGGTGTCAGACACTGACAATAAAAGCTGTCCTTTAAAGCTGGCATGATGTACGGCCAGTTGCCATTATAGTTTAATGGTGCTTGGCGGCTTCAGGGGAAACATGGCGGGACAAGAACGGAAGTTAAGGCGCCGAAAATCTGAGTATGGGCGTGAGGGAGGGGTGGTGGATGGGTCCAGCAAACGAGCAGTGTTTGTGTCCCGTATGATTGTAAACCCAAACCCTGTTTTATTTTTCCTAAACCGAAGTGCATTAATTGTTGGAGGGGAAGAAAACGTCAATTCGCGTTGTTGACCTATTGCATTTATTTTATTTTTTTATTTGTTTGAAAAAGACTGTTAACGGTCAACTTCCTGTGAAAACGGAAGTGTATTTTGAAAGAAGACAATGCATGTAACAGGCAGAACTTGACACAGTGTCCACAACCAACACACCCAGGGTACCTTGCACGTCGTATTTGGACGTAGAAAGTCCATGACCAAACGTCGATACGTGACAAGGTTGCAGTGAAAATGTGTTGCAACACCAATGAGATATTCAACTTTTGTAAAATAGTGTTAATAATAACACCTTTACCATTGATGGACATGTTTACTGATTGGTTGGACGTGTTTTTAAAGCCATCAGAATATTTTTGGCAGCATGCATTTACATCATTATATTAAAGTAAAGTAAAGTAAAGCCTTTGAAATCAGAGCTCCACCATGCAAAGAACGATTTTTCTGCTGGTCAACACTTGGAAGGAAGCCACCTGACAACAGCAGTGCACCCTGGGGATTTTTTTTTTTTGTACTAGAGGCTCTGTCGGGTTAAATTAAGTACAACTCATTTTTCAACAACATATCCCAACTTTAAATGTGCTCCACAAAACAGTGGAGAAGACAGCCTGCAGCTGTGTTTGGAAATCTGATGTGGAGGTGTCGGGAGGAAATGGACAAGCACAGTGGCTGAGCGAAGGATGACCTTTCTGGAGGAGAGAGCAGAGGAGCTGATTAGGAAAGTGAGGACCTGATGCAATCCAACGCCACCTGAATAAGCGGAAGAAATCTGACGTCAGTTGAATTCCCATGGCATTAATACAAAACAGGCTGCAATGTGAAGTGAACAAATGTGCTGAAGTGCAACAATAATAACACGAAATACACATGATGACATTAAAACATCACTATTTTATGTGCAGGCAGTCTTTGTTTTCCCTCTTTTAAGTAACTTGAACTCAAAGCCATTAGTTCATCTTGTTGTTTTTCTCAAATGTCGGCCCCTCAGCAACAATTAATGAGCAGTTGCAGGAACTTCCTGAAGGAAAAACAACGGGATGATATCAGGGTTTCAGGTGAAAATATCATCAACAATAAACAGAGATGGAAATGGCAGCTGGACAAATCAGATATCTTTGTCAAATATTTACAACATTGTGTTTTAACAGGCTTCTGGTTTATGAAATCATATAAAACTACTGAAAGTGAAGGTGGAGGCGCTTAAACTGGAATATAAATGGGCAAAAAAGGAAGGGGAGGAAACTTGTTGTATGATTTAAGTAGGTAATGTTAAAACCTTAAAATACAAGATTTCCTCTTTGAACAGTGTTTTATTTAGCAGTACTAGTGGGTACATTTTCTGAAGATGTCATCTGTTATTAACAAACAAACCCAACTATTCTCAGGTCAAATGCAATAAAAAATAAACTTTCTTAGATTAAATGGGTTTCTTGTGTGCATTTTTGGATCATCCACCATTTATATCCTCTCCATCCTGAGTTATTTATGGACATGTATATCAGAAATGTGCTGGAGAGCTCACAGAGGCATGTCTGAACTTATCTCCAGTGAGGAATGTGAGGAATCCCAACATGTCAAACATGCTGTATAATTCAGATTCCTCAGCAATAAAATACCATCCTCGTTACAGATTAAATATGTAAATATGTCAACTCTGTATGTCCAATATCAACCAGCACAAATAGCTAGAGTTTATATTAAACCTAAAAATAGGTTGGAGATCACCTACCTGTAACATTTTTGAGATTTTGTGAGCCATAATTAGGTTTGTCTTGTCTTACCTCCTGCGTGAAGGTCATCAATAGTTTCCTTTGGGTAAATTTGGGGCTGCTGTCTGCAGATAATGTTCATCCGAGTATTATCCTGCAGGGACGTCGGAGGAAACTCAAACAGGAAGAGCCCTGAAGTGAGATACTCGACAGTTTCTGCATTATATAATGAAGTAAAGAGAATTGTGTGCAACTGGAAAATGTAATTCCATAAACCAAACCTGAAGGCGTTCACATGAGCTCATAGTTTCTGGTGTCTGTGTGATCACTTCATTATGTCAGTCTGCTCCACCTCTAATCAAGCACTAATTGGGCCTGTCTGATTACTATAACCTCATCAGGAGAGCCATGCATTGGAGTTTCAGCAGCTTTTCACCGGCATGCTTCACAGGTTTGTATCTTGTGTTACTTCAGAGAAGGACCAGACATGTGT